CCTGTATCCGTGTTTGACAATGTCTGCTTAATGGTGGAATAGCCACAGAACTCACCTCGCCTTTAGTCTTATAGGGGCTATATTTGGATTTAAATTAAATGAAATAGGGGACCCTTGCTACTTGCCCAGTTCTCCGTTGAAGACATCCTAGAATTCTTTCATCAGGTTCTCTTCCCAGTCTGTCTCAGTAATGCTGTTTATTCCGGTTACTCCGATTCCTAATGGTGCAAACCATTCGAGTCCCAGTAGGCTGGGTCGATCCCAGTTGACTATTGTTAATGGAAGGACTTTAGTGCGTTTTTTGAATTCAACTTTGAAATATCCGGTATCTACTACAGGAATTCTGTTTCCCTGGTAGTCCTTTAGGGTGAGTTTTTGTATTTCGAGCTCTGTTTATATCAGGTATTAGTCTTTTTAGGGTATTCCACGATACCTTTGATAAATACGAGCCTGAGTCCACCTCCACCTCGCATGGCTGGCCTTCTGTGGTGACTTGCACATGTACCTTTTTTGCATTGATTGAGTTTGAGTGCCCAGTGGTTATTGCTTGATGTGTTTCCTCTCTTCTGTTTGCTTCTTTCCATCGCTTGTTTCTGTTTTCTTGACTCCAATGGCTCCCTATTTGCTTTTCCCTCCCTCTGGGGGGTGGTATTCAGCTGTCTGTATACAGTACTGTGCATTCACACCAATTCTCAGTTACCTGAGCTAGGTATGACCTGGGCCCATAACCAGTGTTGAGATAATTCCCTGTTAGGAGAATGAGCGCACACAGGGAGACGTAGTGAGAGTGGTGAAGAATAACACACAAACAGCACACAGCTACACTGTATAGTAAAACCCAACTGTTAGGTGACTTACCTTCCTAACACCTCATCTTCATCTTTCTTAGATGGGTTGAAAGTCAACTCCCTTTATTCCCCTTCACCTCCCCAAACCACAGCCATTTTGGCTGGGAATGATGGGTGCTGAGCTTGAATATACTGTACCTGGTAGTCACCAGAAATAAGAAATCTGCCTCTAAAACGTCTCCAAGCTGATCCTAGCACTTGGTAGACGGACACAGCTTCCTCAAGCAAAAGATGTAGAAAAGCAACACAGGGATGTCGGGGGGCAGAGGAAGAGAGTTGCATCAGCTACCACATAGTTTCCAGAAACATGTGGATGCTCTTCCTGGCAGCACTTTGATTTTTAAAACAGACAATGCCAGACTACACACTTAAAAAAAAAAAGACATGGGAAAAAAAATCCTAGCCTGCCAACTTGGCTTTCTCTTATCTCACAGCAGGTCTTGTTGCCCAGAAAAGCAAAAATGTTAATAAAAATAGTTGCCCTGCTAATAAAAAAAAAAAAGTTGCCCTCTTAGTGCTCAGAAATATTTTCTAGCTGGAAGGGAAAAGTGCCCATTTCTACTTAATTTCAGACAATAAAATATTGTGTGTTCCAATATATCGGCTGATATACAATTACGGTATATTAGTCAGTAGTGGGATTCAATTTTTTTTCCTACCAATTCTGTGGGTGAGGCTTGGTGGGCATGGCAGGGGAAGGATACTATAAAATCTCCATTCCCTCCCAATCCCACTAACCTGCTTTCCAGCTCCGTTCTCCTGTGCAGGGCAACCAAAGAAGACCCAGCCAATCACCTGGGACTCAATGGGAGGCAGAGAATAGATGGGGGTGGGGCTAGTCAGAGGTGGTATTTGCTGGTTCTCCGAACTACTCAAAATTTCTGCTACCGGTTCTCCAGAACTGATCAGAACCTGCTGAATACCACCTCTGGTATTGGTGCTTTGTTAAAGTGGAAATGTGGAATGAAATATGTTGAATGCATTTAAATAAATGCATTGTTTGCAGAATGCCCAATAACGGAATGACATTTCAGAGGTATCTTAAGGTGCCTCCAGGTTTCACCCCTTTCTGAAATATGTCCAGAATTTCTATTCATACCAGAAGACCACGAGTTGAGTAGAAATTCATCCCAATCTGAGAGGAAACCACATTCATGAAACCAGGCAGGGCTTGGCCCTGCCCACGGACACAAACAGGGCCACAGACATAGACATAAAAAGTCAACAGAGAGCTCTTCTGAAGAAGTTACACTTCTACCACCTGCCCCAAAGGTGCTTTTCAAAAGGCAACTGGACTTTCTTGGGTTTGTTTCCTTGAAAACGTTTCGCTTCTCAGATCTGAAGAAAAACTGAACTAAAACAAATGAAGGTGAACTGAAGTTTCTTGGAAGAGAAGC